CCACCAAGAGCTGCATGAAGATAGAGAATTCTGTCTGCTTTGTTCGCTGCTGTGTCCCCAGTGCCCAGACAGTGTGTAAGCACCCAATAAATACTTGTTGAGTAAATGAGTAAAATAGGAGCAGTCCTGCATATTTCCTGGTAAAAAATTACCTTCTCCTTTTTTGAAAATCAATTCAAATTGGAAAAAGACTGTGCTTTTAGACTGTTTTATCTCGGCACAAATCACCCTTCTCACTAACATGACATTTGTGAAGCTCCAGTTAGAGGCAGGCTCTTCAATGCTCTGTTACAGAGGAGGAAGAGGAAGCGCTGAGCCCAGCTGCTGTTAACCCTTCATCCGCAGCTGCTCTTTGGAATCACATGACCAACTTGTTCTTCATTATGACCTCAGAATCTACCCTTAGATATTAGTTTGCTTTACTTGGCCCTCTGCCCATTGTCTAGAGGATAGCCATTGGCCTCTAAAAGCCATGGAAGCCGGAACCACCTCCTTAGGAGAAGAAATCGCTGCTGGAATCTCAGCTCCAATACCTGCTTTCTAGTGAGATTGCACAACTTCACAGAAAATTAGCACCTGCACCTGCAAAGCTGTGGCTCTCCTACCCCCACTTATCATTTCTCAAGCCTCCTTAAAGAAGGAAATTATTGATTTATCATTCTGTAGAGAAAATGGAGTGCCTCTGACATTTGTCATCTGTAAGAGGGTTTAAACATGATGTGTTAGCTTTCTGGAAGTTTCAGCCCTTACTTTACATGTAACTGAAATTCTAATTTATTATTTCCCAAAATACAATCTCAGTGATAATGAGAAAAGTTTCATAGATTTTCACCTTGAAGGACACTTCTCTACCAAAACTCCTGCTGCCCTGGACTCACCTAGATCCTGGCAGGATGTTCCCTCTCAGGGGTCAGTCAGCAATGAAGAAGCAGTTTTCTCCTTGCTGTGACCTTTGTCCCCTTTATTATAAGGTCAGGAGAGAGGTGCCCAATTTTCAACAGCTGTCAGAGAGTCTCGAGTGTTTAGGACATCACAATTGCCTGATAATTCATGGTGTGACAGCCTTATAACTCAGCAATCCTATTCAGCCAGAAATTAACTCAGTAATCAAAGTCATTAAAGGAAAAAAACCCCAACACACTACAGAATCAGCCAGATGGTGGGGAAATCAAATACATGCAGGGGAAAATGGCTGGTCTTTGAGTAAGACCCTAGGCAGCAAAACCTGGGCCCTATGCTGGTTTGAGCAAGGTGTGGCAGGTTTCCGAAGTCTAGTTGCTCTCACCTTTCCTATGAGCCGGAGCAGTGCTGGTCAGAGGGACAGACATGGGGAATCTGCCCAAATGGCCCTACTGAATTTGGGCTCTTGGTGTACATGAAAATGGGGAAAGGAGTAGATAAACAAGCAGACCTGATCCTAACATTTGTAAGCCCTTGGGCAAGAGTATGAATGACAGCTCACATACCCCATGTCTAGACATTTAAAAGTTAAACATTAATAAACTATTCACCAAGGCATGTTCTCGGCTCCTGCCTGAACAAACATCTCTCCATAGGATCTGAGATGCCAGATTCACATTTAGAGTCCTTGAGCCTTGGCAATTCTACACTCGAATGTGGTGATGGGAAGAGAGCTGGCTATTGTCTGTCCTCTTTCCTTCTGTGCCTGGTTCCATCCACATTGTAAAGGACCTCCAGGGGCTCTGACCATGCTCAAAGCAGCTGTATCTTCAACACCTTCAGGCTTCAGGGCTGTGTACCAGACACAGAGTCTGCTCTTGGGAAGATGCAGGGAAGATACCCACATAGCCCTGGAAAGCGTCAGGTGTTTCGGAAAGGAATTTCCAGGTTCCAGAACTGTGTCTTTAAGGTGAGTCAGGGACTCCAGCTGGGCTGGCTCATTGACCTCAAATATCCCTTGCCGCACGGAGGAGGGCTTTCCAGATGAGAGAGGTAGCAGAACCTCTGGGTGTGGGACCCCCTTGCTGGAGCCTGAGAGTCACACTGGAAATGTGCTAAGCCCTGTTCTCACCATCATTCACATCCCTTACATGCCTCCTCTGTGTCCCTGGCAGTCAGACCACCAACAGAACCGTTCCATGTACCTTTTGATCCATAAGTCATAAACAGTTACACTTTGTCTCGTGTATTGTTTAGAGACCTCGACAGAGAAAAGCAAAAATATTCTCAGTCCATACTGAGTTGTTTCCTTTCACATCTCTTAGCAGTGCTGGCTGAGGCTCAGGCTGGGTTCTATGCTCTGACTCTGAAATGGCAAAGTTGACCACATGGCCAAGCCCAGAATCCAGAGCAGAACCTCAGGCCATCCATCATCTCAACTATTGAACCTCATGTTCTGATTCGAGAGCTTGTGTGCTTAAAGTATTAGCTATGGCAAAAGGCTGAGTTTACAGCTGTAAAAAAGAAGAAAATTTCACCTTTTGCGACATCATGGATGGACCTGGAGAGCATTATGTTAAGTGAAATAAGCCAGTCAGAGAAAAACAAGTATCATATGATTTCATTCATATGTGGAATTTAATGAACAAACTGAATTACCAAGTAAAAAAGAAAGATTCATAGATAGAGAGCGGCTGATAGTTCTGGTGGGGTGTTGGCTGTAATGGAGGGATTCAGCAAAAATATTTTTAAAAAGAAAGAACTCGTGGACACAGATAACAGTCTGGTGATTGCAAGGGGGGGGGGAGGTGAAGGTGGAAAAGGGTATGGGGGCAGGGGATAAATGGGGATGGAAAAATAAATAAATAAAATAAAGGGGGAGTGAGAAGAGCTGTGAGTTTAAGATTTCTCAAGCAACTTTTACTTTAGGAATTTAAAATGCAGTCTCACTAGGATGCTGTCTCCTTAACAAAGTAATACCTTTAAAATATTTAACAACTTGAAAAGGAAACCGTGCTTGAATTTTCCCTTCAAGCACTAAGATAATACTGTATTTCTCTTCTGTCTGAAATTCACCATCTTCTCAGACAAAGAAGACTCTTGTAAAAGAAATGGCATTTTCTCCACTATTTTCAAATAAAGCGAAAACAGAATGCAGCCTTCTTGTTGGATCTAACAATGAAGGAGTAATACAGTTTTGCCAGGGGAAAACTAGGCTGACAAAATTTTACATGGGGATATTTTCAATTACTGCTCTGAGGCTAATGGGAAGTGAAGTTTCAAGAAAATTATATCATTTGATCATTTGAGGAATGTATTATATTGATTGTCAAGGGCCAGTTCTAAGCTAAATTCTAATAAAGAAATGTGATTTCCCTTCTCCTGCTCCCCCTCATTCCCCACCCCTCATGGTCCAGTCTGTACCTCCACCCCAACCCAAACCTGGCCTCTGGAAGTAATGAGCCCGTCACTTGCCTTGCAGCTCCCCACATCTGGGATGCTCTCCCCACACAGGCCAGCTTCCCTTTCCTTAACTAACTTCTCCTATAGCTTCTTCTAAGGAACCATTCATGCTGTTGCCCATCCTCTCAGTGATGGCCACCTGTACCTCCCTTACTATTACATCACTGTGCTAGATTTAATCATTGTTGTATCTACGTTCTCTGCCTGATTACACACTCTGTTAGAGCAGAAAACATGTGCTTGTTTTAATGTTTAAATCTCCACTATCCCCATGCGTGATATATAATAGATCTAGTTGAATAAGTGAAGGGGTGCATTAATGGATAGGAACTTAAGCCACTTGTAGCTGCTCCCAGAGTACCTGATGAACGGTAATGGAAGAACCAAAAGATCACCCCTTCTAAAGGAGTCACAAGCCTAACTGGAGGGAGAGTATTTGAGGAGCAAGGCTCTGTAATACATTCTTTTGGGTTACCTTCCTGATGTGTAGTGAGGGGAAGAACTAAGGTGAAAACTTTTGAGAAGAAAGTAATACATGAGAACCATAAAAATAGCTATCAATTAATAAGCATTTATGCATATCAATTCTAATGCCAAATGCTAATCATGTGTCATCTCTATTATCCACATTTTATAGATAAGGAAATTGAGATTTGGTGATTAAAACTGCTTAATTTCACAGGTTAGGAACCCAAATTGGCTTGACTTGGCACCCCTTTGTGGTGGCCTGGAATCCAACACAGGCTGTGGAAGCCCTGGGAGTCCCAGCCACCCACTATGCTCCTCAGCCTGCCCTCCTGCCACCCGTTCTGTCCCTGTGCTATCCACCCACCCGTGGTCCCCCATCTTCCAGGGGGGAGGCCCTGTCAGAGTTTTTAGGCACCCGTCATTATCGATGCCCCTGTACTGCAGAGGTCTCTTCCGGATGGCAGCGGCACCAGTAAAGATTAGATTAGGCTACCAATGAGAATAAACCAGAGAAAAATAATGAGAGTGGAAGACCCTAATACATGCATAATTCAAGGAGACCTTGTTTTCCATCTCAGCCAAACAATGTAGTCTTTATTCAAGGCACCCACATGCCCAGGTGAAAATCCTGAGTTATTAACCAGGAGAACAGGTACCCTCAACACCTCATCCCGGCACCCTTTGCTCAGGGACTTCTTTAGGCAGCTGCGGCAGGTGGAGCTGGAGGAGAACAAGGCATATAACCCTCTGAAGCAAGCCCAGGTTTTCCACAGAGCTGTCTGAATGGCATTTCTCCTGCAATGCCTGTGAAGTATTTTGAGAAATTTGTTGATAGAATTTTGTTCTCTTGAAGCACATCATAGCAGTGGCAGCTCTGTGCCTGATTCCATCGTTGTGCCTAAGGTACCCAACCACCCAGCCTTTTCACTTCACAGCTTGACCCAACTTCCACATGTCCTCTCACTCAAAGCCATCACCCAGGCACTAGCACCCACTGTGTGGGGAATTAGGCTCATGATTACTAATTTGAAATAATACATTTTTTATAGAAAAATGCAAATGAGGATACCTGTAAAAGGCTTTCTTTAGTTTCCACTTGCACCCTCTTCCTTGTCCCTTTCCATCAGGAAATATTTGTTCCAACATGGTGTTTGTTGCTTCTGTTTCAGGGTCCTGCGGTTGTCTTGTCATGATTTTGTTTGCTTCTGAAGTGAAAATTCACCACCTCTCAGAAAAAATTGCAAATTATAAAGAAGGAATTTATGCCTACAAAATACAAAGTGAAAAATATACCACCTCATTCTGGGTCATTTTCATTTGCTTTTTTGTTCATTTTTTGAATGGGCTCCTAATACGACTTGCTGGATTTCAGTTCCCCTTTGCAAAATCTAAAGACACAGAGACAACGAATGTAGCTGTGGATCTAATGTACTGAACAGCAAACATTTCTGTGGTTTTTCAAGGTAGTGAGCAGACTTGCTGCATCTGCTTGGATATGGTTAATTCCAGATACCTCAGTCAGATCACCCAACCTTGATAATGTTTACAAACGATGCACTAGAGGCACAGGCCGGAAGGAGGGGAGCAGAAGGAAAGCTTCGGAAGGTGTGCTGCCTGCGGGGAAATCACTTCACCAGGCTGTCAAGGCAATCAGCTGGAATGGACAAACCTCCTACATAGCAACGTGCAAAATGCCTACTCCATCATGGGGCATCAGAAGGCATGGGGATCTATTTTAATAGAATCATTTTGGACATAACCATACATTTGTTGCCACAGAAAACAGAGCAGGGATAACTTCTTATAAGGATAGTGCATTAAGTGAGCTTTGTAAAAAGTTCATATAAAGTACAGTCTTACTATCATGTCTGTTGATTTACATTTGCAAACTTAATAAAATAACCAGGAGGAAAAACCATAGCTAAGGGTATTTCTCTCATGCTTAGGACCCCTCTACATTCACACAGTATTTACAAGGGAGACAACTTCCAGGGCCTCATGAAAAATTATTTTCTTGTAAACTTCATACAAAATGACTCATTGGGGCTGTTGTTTCTAACCTCAGTGTCTTAAACTCTAATTTCCAATTATAAAATTATGCTACATTCTGGGATTATGATGGTAACACTGTACCATTGTGGATTTTGGTCTGGCTATCACAAAGCATGGCCCAGATCAACTTCCCCCACTGAATTACCCATGAAATTCATCTGCAGATGACCAAAGGCCACAGCTGAGCCTGGAGCTAGCCCCTTTCTTCTCCACCTGCTATCCTCAAGAGCACACACAGGAAGAAGCAGAGAATGACAGAGAACACGTCACCAGGCCACCCGGCAGAACTGCTCGGTACCTAGCTCCCATTCAAGGGTTTTGAAAGTGCTTATTTTTCACAAAAATGCTTTTTTTTTTCTTTTTCTTTTTTCCCTTTTGGAAAAACCTACAAGAAACAAATGACTGTATCCCTGAGAACTAACTTGCTCTGCTGGTAGTTTACAGCCACAGGCTGACATTAGACCACACCTTCCAGATGTAGTTCCTCTTCCTCCATTCAGAAAACTCACCTGGAGAATTTCTATATCACAACTCAGTCTAGTGCTAGAGGGAATATTTGGTTTAGTAATGAGCTAGAGCCCACTTATGGGAGTCTTTAGCCAAATTGGTTAGATACACAGACATTGTAGCTAGGAGTGGGCAGCAAGTGCAGAGCAGCCATCCTGTGGGAAAGCAGCCTAAGATCCCCGAGGCCAGGTTCCCCATGTTCTCAGCAGCCAAATCTCTTTCTCTACCTCCCTCCCTCCCTACTTTCCTCCTTAGAGGTTTGAAAAACTTCTAACACCAAGCTTTTCTTTTTTAAAAAACAACTCTATGGTTGTTCTCTGTTCTGTAAACAGAAAAAACTTTGAGCAGCAGCTAAAAATTCAATGAGAACCTACCAGGCAAACTAACACTATTTCCTCAGGGGGAAGTAGAGGCTGGGCCGCGGCCTCTGCAAATTGTGTTTCTTACAAAAATAAATACAACCTGATCCTCAGAGTCTATTAAGTTGTCTCTTCTCTGGAGTCAAATGTGTGATCACCAGGTTCTAAGAGTAGTCCTCAGAAGAGGGTTCTGGCCAGGATATCTTTTTGTGGCTCTCTGAATGGGGATCAAAGGCCTGTCCGACCTCCATGTGGCAGCCAGCATTAGCACATTCTCACAAGGACACAAGGCCTCCAATGGTTCTGTGGCCACAAACACAAGGCCGTGGTTGGGCGCTCAGTTCCAGGTATATCAGCAGACACCCTCAGTACTGAGAATATCAGTGCTTATTATGGGGTGAGAAAGAATGGCAAGAAGCTGTGAAAGTCATCTGAAGCTCTTCTGTGAAGACCTTGTAGTGAACGTGGCAAGACACATTCACCAGAATGGGAGGGGGCTTCTGAGCTAACCTGTGGTGTAGAGGGCCCCTTGGGAATGCACATGGATGACCTTTAATTATCATCAGCTGAACTCAAGACTAGGCAGAGCCATGCCCTGGGAACATGTTTCCCCAAAATGTGGGAGACTGTTATCAGTACTGATTTCTTATCTTATCCATGTGCTTGGAATGAGGAACGAATAGGATCTTGACTTACCCAGGTCTTGTTATGCTAAATTCCAGGAATGAAGGAATGAATAGGACCTGAGCACACCCAAAACTTCTTTGATCTAAACGCCCCCCTCTGGAAATAAATAAATGCACTGTGTTGTCTGTGGTGGGTGTTGACTGTCTCTCCAACAGAATGGCAGCCCCCCACCTGGATTCCAGCTTGAATCTATTTCTGTCTTGGTCTTTTTTTTTTTTTTTTTTTTTTTTTTTAAATTTCTTAATCCCTAGCTCCGGCACTCAGGAACCTGTCATTTTCCGTGCGGGTTGTGGAAAACAGAAACATCCCCCCACACTGTTGGACAGGGCAGGCCCGGTGCAGAGGAGGAGGAGGGCGCTTTGCAGGTTGCTAAGCTCCTGTGCTCTGGTAGTCCCCTATGCCCCTCCAGAGCAGCCCCTCTCAGTCACTTCACAAACTTTCAGTGTGGATGAGTTTGCTGGTGGCTCACACATTACACAACCCTAGGGCAGCAGGTGGAGGGAGGAGGGGTTCCCACTGTCTCATTGGTCCCAACCATTTACTCAAACTAGATCCAAGGAGGAGACAGGAAAGGAGGCTGAGGACCACAGAGAGATTTACCCTCTCAATCTTCCTCAACCCCTCCCCTTTCAGTAAGATCCAATATAGGTTAAAATTGTGTCGTTGTTATAGAAATGCTGCTTCAAGCCCAGGCTCAGGCAACTTGCCCTGGTTTTCTAGCTGCCTGGTGGCCCTAGTCACTTCTGTTTAGATATTCTATTTGGATCCGGTGCTATTTGGGTGCTCCAGTTTGAGTCTTCCTTTCTCAGCCACCTTCACTGTGGCTCAGGGCAGATAAGCCCTCTCCTCCAAGAGACAAGAGACAGAGAGTCATGCTGATTGGTTCAGAGAAAAGGGACCTGGTCCTTTAAGTTAGAAGGCAGGCCTGGGGCCCTGGATTCTGGAATGAAATTCCTCCTTGGGAAAAGCCCTCTTGCTTATCAAAGTGCTAATGTAAACTTGATAAACTTGTACTTTGATTTAGAGACGTGATTCCCACTACCCCCATCCGGAGACATTTCTGGGCTGTCACAATCCAGGGCTCCCTGGACTATTTGGAAAATCCAAAGGAGCCTGAGGCTGACTGGATGATTTAAGTCCAAAATCAACAAAGGACAAGTGCTGGAAAGGATGCCGAGAAAACGGAACCCTTGTGCACTGCTGGTGGGAATGCAGACTGGTGCAGCCACTGTGGAGAACAGTATGGATGGAGTTCACTCAAAAAACTGAAAATGGAACTCCCATTTGACTCAGTGATCCCACTTCTAGGAATATATCTTAAGAAACTAGAAATACCAATCAGAGAGGATATATACACTCCTATGTTCATAGTGGCACAATTTACCATAGCTAAGATTTGGAAACAGCCTAAGTGCCCATTAGCAGATAAATGGATTAAAAAATTGTGGTACATCTACACTGCTGTAAAAAAGAAGGAATTCTTACCATTTGCAACAGCATGGATGAGACTGGAAAGCATTATGCTAAGTGAAATAAGCCAGTCAGAAAAAGATAAATATCACATGATCTCATTCATTTATGGAATATGATGAACAGCATAAACTGATGGACAAAAATAGATCCAGAGACAGAGAAGCATCAATCAAATGGTCAAACATCAGAGGGAAGATAGGGGAGGGTGGGGTAAGAGGGACAAAGGACTTGCATGAATACATATAAACCTAACTAATGGACACAGCAAGAGGGGAGTGAGGGCATGAGTGGGGTGGTTGGAGAGATTATGAAGGGATAAGGACACATATGTAATACCTTTATCAAGAAAGACATTTAAAAAATTAAAAAACCACAAAGCCAAGGCAGGTCTAAAGGCCAGCTTTGTTAACTTCTGGTCTAGTCAGTGGTGTTTCTATCACATCATACTGGATGAAGGTATTTGTACCTCAACCTTTATCTTTGATTATGTTTGAAAGGTTTTGCGTCCTATTAACGGAACTTTTATTATCATGCTGCTTGTATGAAATGTATTTTGGGTGAAGTGAGCCTTTTTGCCCCTGAAGTAGCACATTGTAAGCTCTGGTATGATATGCCCTGGAGATAAGATGTCAGGTAAGTAAAAAATAATAATAATAATTGCAGGTGATTCAGAATGCCAACCTATATCCTGTATGACAACCTGCCTTCTCTCCACACCCCATCCCTCACTGAGAACCACCCATTTACAGGAAGGCCACTCACTGAACAGATATAATATCTATTCATCTATTCACTAAACAACTTTTTCTTAAGCTCTAATGATGTACCCTGCCCTGAGCTAGCCCCAACCATAAAATTATTTTCATTGCTACTTCATAACTGTAATTTTGCTACTGTTATGAATCATAATGTAAATATCTGTATTTTCCAATGGTCGTAGGCTCTATAGCAGCAGTTTTCAACCTGTGGGTCACAATCCACAGATTGAGAACTGCTAGCAGGGTCACCTAAGACCATCAAAAAGACTTCTATGTTAGACTCAAAATCATAAAAATCCTAGAAGAAAACACAGGCAGTAAAATTTCAAACATTCTTGTAGAAATATTTTATTGATATATTTCCTTGGGCCAGGGAAAAAAGAAAAAATAAACAAATGGGACTACATGAAAATAAAAGTTTTTGCACAGTAAAGGAAATCATCAACAAAATGTAAAGACAACCCTTTCAATGCAAGAACATATTTGTCAATGATAAAATGTGATAAGGGATTAATATCCAAAATTTATAAAGAACTTATACAACTCTACACAAAAAAACAATAACAACAAGCAATCCAGTTAAAAAATGGGCAAATGGC